TGTGACAGTGATAATATTGCTTCTACTACACGATTATTTTTACATAGGTAGCCTATATATTCTATTGTTTGTGTTTAACAATGAACCGAGTACCGTACCGGTAGTTTTTTAGGACAGACCTGAAATGTTTAAGAAACCCCTAAAACTATTCTTTGACATCAACACTACAACTTTCTTAAAATTGACTTTTTGGGGGCAAGGCCTCCTTTTATTAGGTACTAATTAACTTTAATATATAAGCACCCCAATTCACTAGGGGAATAGTGGGAATTCTAGGTTTTGGGTGGGGGGAGGGGACATCCATATTGGTTAATTATTTGGATTGGAGGGTAATTTTATGGGTTATAGTGCTTAATTAGCCGGGAGGAATGGGAGCTTTCCCCAAATTATGGGAAATTGACTTGAAATACTGTAGGTAAATTTAGTCATTACCAAAATAAACATTGGTTGTTGAGTCACTGTCGTGTCGCTTGGTTTGTTGAAGCGTTGCTGTTGGTCTGAGGTGATGACTGCTAGAGTGGAGCAGAGACCGGAAGTCAATCAGTAAGCGATTGCAAAGGCGTTGGAAGTAAAAATGTTAAGAAATAAAACTTAAGGGGTTGTACCTTTTTGATTTGAATTATAAGGACCATAACTTAACATAATAATACTAAATTTTAATTGAAAGCAGTCAAGTAGTTTTTTTCAAAAATCCAATTTTTCCAGAATTTTATGGTAAAATCACATTAATTACCTTAACTTTGAACCTTGAACCGTAATTGATTAAGCAGTGGGGTTGTACCGTTTTGCTTGGAGTTGAAAGGACTATGAGTTACTAAATTTATAAGGTAACTTACCTACAAAATGTTATTAGCAAAATACCTAACTTATTTAATCTAAATGCAGCACAAAGGAAAAACCACTCAGGTGAAAACCATTGATCAAAGCATTCTTCAACATGAGAAGTTAACTATTGAGAGAAAGTATTACAGGGCATTTGGAAACTACCGCTGTATGAACACAACAATGAATACAAACCCTTTAAGAAATACCCGTTAAAATACGCACATAGTGGCGTCCCCATCTTAAATAATTGATAATTGATAATTGAGAAGCGAAAGATGGAAAATTTTGCCACCGAAATAAGCTTTGCGCGCCGCCGTTACGATCGCTCACACGGCCGTCGCGCAAGGCCACCTCTCTGTCTCACTCAGTCAGCTGACTTGGCCGCACGCTCGCGATAGCTAGTCTACCTAGCGGCCACCACGGGAGTTATCCAAAATTGATATATTTCCTGACTGAATTATTTACAAATGCATTGCGCTTCTTAAAGGGTTTGTATTCATTGTACACTATCTTACTGATTTTTTAAATTTAATTGCAACTGAAACTAAAACAAATAATTTAAATCACTGATTTAACTTACTAGCCAACAACTGGCTAGCAATTTTTTATCCAAAGCTAGAAATAGGCTATTGAAAAACGTTTTTTTTTTTTTATCATGACTCCGTGCACCAGGTTTGCTAGTTATTATTACTTGAAGATAGTGACGCACACCTAGATGAGTATGAATGCAAGGATAAGTGTAGAATGGAGTGATATGATCTCTTTAGTTTTGTTTCTGACTTAGATGGGCTGCTTCTATAGCCTGGACCATTTTATTAAAAGCCCAATGATCAAGGATAGCTGGGTCCAGTTTTAAATGAAAAAGGTGCTGCTGCTGACTTTTCTCAGGATCTATAATCTCAAATATAATAATAATTAGCAACATAGCCCGTTGTGGTTGAATACAACAGTCTCTAGTAAAACAATGGTTATGAAATCCATACACCTCTTTACTCACTAATATTAATGGTACAGATTAAGCACATAACATTAGAATCACACACTTAACATAAGGAACACACTTTAAACACAAATGCAAAGTGTTAACAACAACATTTAATCAAAGAAAAATCAATTAAATAACAATAATATAACAATTAGCTGTTAAATTATTAACACATGTTTTGTATGATTAGATTATGCATACTGGTAAACTTATTGTTGCCATCTATAAAAATTATTGGTTTTTCTTTTATCCGAGTCCGGCTAGCTCTTCTACCCGACTGATTTACATAATTTTGGCCTTAAACTAAAGGTATGGACGCACCACAGATTTTCCATCAAGCACTCAGCATTCAATTTGATGTATATTTCGAGTTATGCACAAAATGCGTCCCTGTACATTTCTTATAGGAGTTAAATTTTGTTTTTTTCGAGTTCGTTTGGCTCTCTACCCGCCCGATTTTCATAATTTTGGTCTTAAAATAAATTTATGCTAGCACATATTTGTCATCAAGCATGCTCATTAATTTATCTAATGTATTACTCAACAAAAAACATAAATTTGATTTATTTTTTATTTCTTACTTTAATTAAAGATGTATTCCAGCAGTTCTAATTACATTACCCTATATGTTTTGGTCTAAAAACCTATAGTGAAATACCAGCTTACATTTAAGCTATTGATTATTAAGATTCCGATCTTAATAATCCTACCTAAAGCACAATGCTGAATCACGAATCAACAATAATTATAATCGTTTTAGTACTTAAATCTGAAATCAATGATACGTAACTCTTTTCTTATTTAAGTTATTATGTCTTGGTCTTAATATACTTCAAAGGCTTTCACTTGAGATATTGATAGTTTTAATCAGTTAAGTTAAAGATACTGTATCTCTCAATCAGAAAACACAAATTTTGTCATATCTTGGATATGGAATTTAGTTTGAGATATATTTACTCAATTCTAATTACGTTATTCTATTGACGTTATTCTATTTATTTTGACCTCAGAACCTTCAGTGAAATACCAGCTTCCATTTGAATTATTGATTATTAAGATCGGACATACCTAAAGCACACTGCTAAATCACAAACAACCCAAATTGTTAAAAGTTGTTAAGAGTTATTTATCATTGATTTATTATGAAACAATCTTGTTTGCAACCTCAACAGTAACTGTCGACTTTGACGGGTTTCACCTAGAAAATCTTAAAAAATCAAACTTTCATATTTATTTTCAAATCTACAAGAATTAGGCTTTCCAATGACCTATTAATTAATAAAATCGGTTCTGTAGAACTGTAGATTTAATTGTAGAAAGTTTAACAACAACATCTATAATTCAGTATTTTCCCACCACTATAAAATTTGGAGGTTGCTTAACGTTTTTGCAAATAACTTTGAAATGGTGAGGAAAATCGACCAAAGTGGAAGGTGATATTCTGATAGAGAATAAAATTTCCTACAAATTACTATTATGTATTTCTTGAAAATACTCAATAAAGCAGCCTAAATTTGGCTACAAATATAAACTTGGAAAAAGGCGTTTTAAATTTATTATTGATTATTTTTATTTTTCCTCCTCAAATATGTAATAAAATCAAACTTTCATAATTATTTGCAAATCTACACGAATTAGGCTTTCTAAAGACCCATTAAGTAACAAAATCGGTCCGGTAGAAGTCTAGATTTAGTTGTACAAAGTTTAACAAAAATATATCTAATTCAGTAATTTTTTCACCACTATCAATTTGGAGATCACTTAGCTTATTGCCAATTACTTTTAAATGTAGGGGAAATCGACCAAAGTGGATGTGATATTCTGAAAGAGAATAAAATTTACTATAAATAACTACTACGCATTTCTTGAAAATACTTAATAAAGGCAGCCAAAAGCTGGCTACAAATATAAATTTGAAAAAAGCAGTTTTTAATGAATTTTTGTTATTTTTACTTTTTCACCACAAATATTTAATAAAATCACACTTTCATAATTATTTGCAGATCTAAATGAATTAGGCTTTCCATTGACCCATTAATTAACAAAATTGGTCTATTAGAAGTCTAGATTTAGTTGTACAAAGTTTAACAAAAATCCCTAACTCAGTATGTTCTCATTACTATAAATTCTGAGGGTGCTTAGCTTTTTTGCAAATAACTTTTAAATTGTGAGGAAATCGACCAAAGGAAAAGGTGATATTCTGAAAGAGAATAAAATTACCTACAAACTGATACCATGCACTTGGAAATACTAAAAAAAGGCAGCCACAAGTCACATCCAAATAAAAAGTGTGAAAAACACCGTTTTCAATGTATTTCTTATGAAAAACATGTTTTTTTTTTTTATTTCTCACTATAAATCATAACAAAAACAAACTTTCATAATTATTTGCAAACTAGCTGAGTACCCGTCCTTCGTACGGGGTTGGTATACAATGCTTATTGTAGTTAAATACTCGTGCTTTGCATTTGCAATGAGAGAGGACACGTTTTGAGAAAATTTGGTTTACTATAATCTACAGTATACTATAGTATATAGAACATCTACCATAGCCATCTAAACAATAGAAAGAAGTAAAGTTATCACACTCAGGTTTTTGTTGCTGCTTGGTTCTAATTAGCTGTTGTCATAAATGTATAAAGAACTAATGGTGCTGCACCCTGTTGGTAAACCGTATAACCTTTTAATGCTATTGAATATCATAGAAATAAACTGTGTAGTTGAAACAGCTGGCAAAATTATTTAATTCCTTTTAAATATGAATACACACAAGGTTAACATAGGAAACTCTAGAGCCGCTGGGGCGGAGCCCGAAAGGATTTTGAGGTAAGAATATGTCTATATGTTAATCGGGAATCTGAGCTATCATGATACCAAATTTCAACACAAACCGGCCAGTAGTTAATGCGTGATTGAACTTCAAACAAACAAATAAACAAACACACAATCTTTCACATTTATAATATTAGTATGATCTACATGAATTAACTTTCTCAACGGTAAATTAATTAATAAAATCGGTCCAGTAGAATTCTAGATTTAGTTGTACAACGATTTTTAAAACTGAATTATATATAAGTAGGTATTACAAGTGAGTTAATACCAATGGTAAAATCGATAATTTGTACATGGTAAAGTTGGTACTGAGCTTATCTTGTGACTTAAATATTGACAATTTTTCTTTTTATAGGATAGCAAGAACAGTGAACCAAAGACTAACCTATGGTTTGACATTTCAACTGAACAGTGGCCAATAGTTTACTGCAATCATTATAATGTCAGGTTCGGAGGTTTGGAAAAACTTCATCCATTTGACGCTGTTAAATGGGCAAATATATTCCAGGTAATGGTAAATCATTCTTGCTTCGATAATTATATTTTAGATATTTTAAGGTACCATGTAATTAATATGTATTTATTTATTTACTTTTATACATTGGTCTTATGGAAAGCTAGGTAGCCAAGACAGTTTTACCAAAATGTAAATAAATGAATTGTAACAAATGACAAAAATGACAATTCTTTATTGCACATAACATCTGTTACAATTATTACAAACATAATACACAGATAGGTACATTGTCAAGGTTTCTAATAAATAAGGAATTCTAAATATATAAAAAAGATTTAGCCAGTAAGGTACCCCTACTAAAGCTACAGCATGGTGGAACTGTTTATGTTAGGAGAGGTTGATGAGAGAATGGGTGTCTATTACCAGGAGTCGTTGAAAAATTCCTCAAGAGTGTAATATGCCTTTCCTACAGTCACCCGACAAAGTTGGCTTCCTTGTACTGTTTATACAGGGTGGCGCAGATGGATTGGGTGGTTTTAAAATACTTGTCAAACTGTCAATTTTAAAGGTATTGGATTGAAATAAAGTGCAAAACGTGTAGTACAATGGAAGTTTATTGAGAAAAAATTAGTTTAAGTTAGTTTTTTTAAATTACATCCATCAAATGCCTTCCTTCTCGAGCGACGCATTCTTGGAGTCGGTCCTTGAGGTTCCGCATTGCTCGCTCAAGCACATCACCAGGAAGTGATGTGATTTCGTTGTGAATTGCAGCCTTCAACTCCTGAAGCAAGGGTCTACATGAACAAACCCCGGACCATTCAGAAGTTGAAGGCTTCAATTCACAACGAAATCACATCAATTCCTGGTGATGTGCTTGAGCGAGCAATGCGGAACCTCAAGGACCGACTCCAAGAATGCGTCGCTCGAGAAGGAAGGCATTTGATGGATGTAATTTAAAAAAACTAACTTAACTAATTTTTTCTCAATAAACTCAATAAACTCAATAAACATTGTAACTACACGTTTTGCACTTTATTTCAATCCAATACCTTTAAAATTGACAGTTTGACAAGTATTTTAAAACCACCCGATCCATCTGCGCCACCCTGTAGTACAGAAAGCTGCTAATTGCTGCATATTTATACTTTGTCGTACGGTTTATACTTTGGCGCACATCAGGATTCCAACAAAACAACACAAAACAGCGTTGTTCTATTATGCACGTAATCCGTGTACGCTTGGAAATAGGTTGGCAACACTTAAATAAAAATAATACTATGAGCAGCTGATTGACTATTATAACTACGATTTAACCTGTCATTTCGTGTTTATAGTTTGTTCTCTTTTCGGTATTTCTGAACTTTCTGGACTTTTCTTTTAAACGTTTTTAAAACATTCCTACGATAATAAAACGACTTAATAAACAAGAAAATACCTTTAAAGCATTTTTTTAGGCGCGGAAACCACTGCAAATTACAAAAACATACGGAACTATTTTCTCAAGTCGCGGAGCACATTTGCTTGCCGAGGAAAAAATAGCGGAGTGATACGGACCGGTGACTACTTTCTCTAGGGCCCCTATTTGTGTTGCCAGCTGAACCTAAAAACGTGTTGTATAGTGTTTGAAAGACTAATTATTTATATGCTTTATAGTGACTGTAGGAAAAATATAATGTGTAACACGAGTGCAAAAGGCCTTTGCTGCACTCGAGATCATTCCGCACGAGCCGCAGGTGAGTAAACGTTGCTCTCGTGTGCATCAAAGTGCCACTTTGCTCACTAGTTACACAAATAACTATTTCCTACTAAAACTGTTTTGATTTTGTCTGTAAATTTTGCCAAGTTTAACTGCTTTAAGGAGTTTGGAACTTTATTGTAAATTAACATGTGCTTATAAACAATCATTTACAGTGCAGTGGCAAAATACTAAATACAGTACAAAAGAAAACAACATTTCCATAAATCCATGCCATCTAGCATTGTATATTTAATATAGTTGGGGTATTTTATCAAACAATTGGATAATTACGACTGTTCATAAACATAGAATATTTTACCGCAAAAATTATACATTAATGCTGAACTAAGAGTTTTGAGAAAAACCCAAGGACGTTCTGTAGTTTTGACGATGCGCCACCGGAATGGGCGTGTTGTTTGACGATCCCATGGATTATAAAATAGAAACAATATGGGTCATAAACAAACTAATAACCAACCTGAAAATAAACATGTTTTTATTATTATTTCAACAAAACTCTCAAAAAAGTCCAAAACACATGTAGAGCTTATTGGTATTAGATTCCATCCAGTGATGTCATTCTTTTATGTTTTGATACAAACCGTTTCTGTTCTAATATCGGTGGACGATATCATTGTTGCGACGTTACGCGATCCAATGACTAACATATGTTACAACCAGAGAGCGCATAATATTCGCAACTCGCAACAATGCTGGTCAACAGCTGAGATGTTAATATCACGCATTTGTTATTGAACTAACTGTAGAAATGCCCAATAATGGATGAGTGAACCTTATTCCACAAACCTTTTTGATTCTATTCGTTTTGAGCCAATGAGACCGTAAGCAGAAAATACATGGTTTCTTTTCTACAGTCATCTTTCATCGTTGGGACACATCTGCTATCCTGAAAATTCCCTACACCTTTCATTTTCAATATTCTCCGCGAATAAGGGATTTTATCTAAGTTGAGTTTGTGAAAACCACTTTCAAGTCATCTTCCTTCTGCACCATGTCATCTGGAAGGTGGGAGTGTATAGCCTTCTCAAGATTGAACATTACTATACTAACCAGTTTGACAATTCTTTAAGATCAGGTTTGTCCATAAAAAATTTGAGACTGTAAGATAGCTTACTTAGTTATTAAATTTTACAGTTGTGGGTTAAGCATATACTAATTCTGAAAGTGCAATGATTCTGCTGTTGTGGTTGAAATTAAAAAATATTGATTGAAAACAATAAGACCAGCTGGATAACTTTTTTACAGGGAAGAGCATACGAGTTATCTTCAACTGGCTGGGTAGCTGAGTGGTTATAGTGCTCGCCTAGTAATCAAAAGGTCGCTGGTTTGATCCTGAGAAAAGTCAGTAGCTTTTTGATGGTTTGAAACTGGACCTAGCTGTTCCTGATCATTGGGCTTTAAATAAAGATCCTGACTAATGAAACCGCTGATCTTAGTCAGTAACAAAGCTACACAGGTCATATTTGGGTTAAAATACGCACCTAGGGGGCGTATAAAGTGGCTTTCCCATTTTAAAGGCATCTACCTCAAGACGATTTCTTATCCTAGCAAGACTTTCTTATCCTACTTGCTGAAAAGATAGGGGATTTTTTGTACGCGGAGTAAAACATCAGCTATTTTTCAGATTTATCACTATGGTTTGGGAGCATTTGGCTGCTAGAAACAGGCTGGATAGTATGTCTGAATAAATCTGCTAGTTTCTGCATGGCCTTTATCACAATGGGGCATCTGAACTGACGGTTCTTTTTCCTACTGCCATTTTTGACATTGCAGTTAGACTCTTCCTCCTTTCCAAGGATTGCACGAAGTTCTGCCTTAGATCCGAAATAGTAATTACCAGAAACTGATGCTGACTTGAGTCACTGATGAGAAACTGATGCTGCTTTGCCTGTAGTAATCGTTTCTGCAGTTCTAATTCCTTAGCTTTCAGTTGTCTCCCTCTCTATCTCCCATCGCAGACACTACATATCTCTTTCCTCAAAGTGTCTCAGGCGCTGTAGCTCTTGTTTTTTTGTAACTTCTCTATTTTATTCATTTCTTTAAGTCTTTCAACCTCAATATGCATCAATTGTCATTGATTTGATGAAGAGCCTCCAGTATTGTTGGTCTCAAACTTGGAAGATAGAGGTATTTCAATTGTGTGAATTCACTCCAGCCTGGATTCTTAGTTTGTTTTCATATTCACATTTTCTGGAGAACTAGTGTACCTGTTGCTCGAATTCGAGCAACTGCAAAGTATTACAGGCGTTATTTCAAAACGAATAATAGTAATAATTTCCGATGACTTAAAAGAGTCAACTCAAAAATAATTTCTAATCAATCACTCCACTCCAGTTATCGAAACTGAAAACCAACTCACTCTGAAAATGAACGCTCTTGTGTGTATCATGTGATTACTATAAACAGCTGTTTTAGTATGTAATTAATACAAATTATTCGTCTGTTTAAGTAAACAAAATTTTTTCTTCATAAGAAATACATTGGGATTTTGATGGCCTGTGGGGCTAAACCCGAGGACTTTTATTACAGAAATTGGTGAAAGGGGGTGTCTACACAAAAACTACTTAATTTTGACACATCGTTTGTAAAAATCCGTCCATTATTAATAGAGGAGTAGTGTTTCGAAGAAATCGCCTTCACTTATATATAAGGATACCTATTTGGACGATAGGTATTTCTCTCCAATGTCAAATATCATGCCACTCTTCTTCTATTTCACAGAGCTATTCTATTTTAAACGTTATACTTTGTTCTTATATCATTATTGGATGTATTTGATGTACACTTATTTTTCTATTTAAAATAATATAAGGTTTTTTCTTAATTTAGTATTTGAAAGAAGAAGGGTTGGTCACTGAGGATTCTATAGCTAAGCCAAAAGAAGCAACTGAAACAGACTTATTGTTAGTTCATACCAAGAAGTACCTGAATAGTCTTAAAGTAAGTAATATTCCAACATTTGTTTTATACTAAGTGCTCTAGGGCTTTTAAGTTACAGGCACAAGAAATCTTTAAATGTCCGACCGACGCTGGTCTACCAAATTCTGTACGACTACACTATTAAATTCCCAGTGTTTTAATAATAGTGAACTGATCTTTGAGTTGGTTTTACTGGCCTAAGGTGCAGTGGAGCCTTTTAACCATGCATGACATTAGGTCAGAAATCCTGTCTGAGTGGGTAGTCAACCAACATATTAATACATTTTCAGACTTCTCTTCTTCTTCTTGCCTTCTCTACATCCCCAGTTTCTGTAATCCTTTGTGTTTTTGTTTTTTCCATGGCATTTGCATATTTTTAATGTTTTTTGTAAATTAGCAGTCCAAAACCTGGTTTTGTTACTATCCAACATTGACCTCTTGTTATTGATGCCCAATCACAAATAGTCAGAAACTATCTTGCTTGGAATCAAACCAACGATCTTCAAATTTTAAAACTAGCACTACAACAATCTGGCAACCTAGACAATTAATTTGGTTCTATTTTTTATGTTTCTGTTTCTTCTGGCCAATGTGAAAAATGACTTGTTGGTGTTTAACAAGCTCTTGGTACTAAATGCATATCACATGGTAATAACCAAGCTGGAGAAATGAGATGCTTAATGTTTTTACTGTTTTTATGTAATATTTCAACATAAAACAGGGAGAGCCTATATCCAGTAGTGAGACCAATGTAAGATACTATTACACCCCTCACTTTAAGTGAATTATAATAATAGGCCTAGATTCATTCCTTTGATAGAGTTATTGTTGCAACCATTCATGTAACTGTAGCTTTTTTCAATCCTATGTTGCAGTGGGGCTGGAATGTTGCAGCTATAGCAGAAATTCCTGCTCTCGTTTTTGTGCCAAATTTTCTAATACAGAAGCTTTATCTTCGACCTATGAGGTAAATAATGGTTGAAGTTTTAACCAACAAATACTGTTTTGTTTGTTTGCAATTACTATAACTATGTGGTTATCCACAGAGATAGTCTCCAGTTAAATATGATTATTATACCTTTTTTTCAAACATAATATTACAACCTTAGTTAAGCGTCCTTGGAGCCTAGAGTTTCTAACTCATAAAACAATTAAAATACCCCCGCCGCAGCAAACCTGCAGACTAATCGAATTTCCATTTGCCTGATTGGATTCACACTAAAATGTCTCCTTAAAAATATCACATTTATTCCCTATTTAAATAGAATCAGTTTATAACACATACTTAGGTTTGCTGCAGCAGGGAGGGTAAAAGTGTTTTTTTAATGTAAAATGTTAATAGTTAGTAAGAAATAAAAACATTTTCCAAATTTGGGCAAAATATGTTAATAAACAAGCTAACTACAACACTTTACTTATTGTCCATAAGAAAAACATGGGAATTTTAAATTTACAATTTTTTGGAATTTTCGTAACCATTAGACGCATTATAACGCTTCAATATACTAAATTTTTTTTTTTTTTAAGCTCTACAGTATAGTTTGGAAAGAAATTGCAAAATTTTATGTTTTTGGGTCAAAAATGGGAAAACCCCATTTTTACCCCATAAAACCCCCCATAAACCCCCGTTCCCATGGTCCGATCATGCTGGTTCGCGAACTCGTTTGAATAAACATAGGTTTAAACGTTTGTACCAAATTTCATCAAAATCGGATCATTTTTGCTCGAGTTATCGCGCTAACGGACACATATATATATATAAATATACAGTATATAGGCCTTTATATACAGGGTGAGTTTCTACTAAGTGCGTTAATTTTTACCAACTATTCTACTCACTAAAAGGAACAAAAAAATGCCAGAAAGAATTTTCTAACCCCACCCGTTAAGCTGTAGTGACCGATTTTGTGTATTTTTTAAATTACATGTAGTAGCATTACTAAAACTATCATAGAAGCCAAACCAAAACAGATACAGTATTATACCTCACACATATGAAAAGAACGTTAAATTTCCCATAGAACAATTGCAACAACTTTAACATACAACCCTATTTAACCCGCGTTAAAACTCACACAACATAAACAATGAAGTTTGCAAATAACTTCTTTACAACTTTAAAGTGCCGTTTCACCTATTAACATTAATGTAATGTTTTGTCAAATTGCTTAAAAAACTTTCTCATTTTATAACCTTTAAAATGATGTAATCAACAAGGTTATTACTGCATTCAAATTTTGAAAAATTAGGTTAAAACTGCGTCAAGGTCAGAACTTTGGTAATGTAAAAAGGGATCCAAATTTAATACAGTATCTATTATTTTCTTTTTACCTGTTGTTAATCAACTGATATGTGATCAGCTGATGTTATAAAATTTTGTTCACAAAACCAGCTGGTTTTTGATTGTTGCATTGTAAACATTCAAATTATTCACTATTTCATGAACATACCTTGGAAATAGTTTAATTAAGTGCTATGTCAGTGTTCACGAACGAAGAATATCTTGACATTATTTTAGTTTATGGATTCTGTTCTCAAAATGCAGCTGAGAGCCAGCGTGAATACAGTCGTCGGTTTCCTAATAGGCGACTTCCGAATGAACAAACATTCATCAGTGTTCATAGGAGTTTGCGTGAAAATGGTAAATTTCCCACCAAACATCGTTCAGTTGGGAACGTGATACAAGATGTGGGTGTTGAAGAAGCTGTGTTGAGGCGGTTTGAGGACGATCCACGGACAAGCACAAGGGCAGTTTCTCGTGAGTTGGGCGTTTCTCAAACTTACGTCTCCAAGTTACTAAGAAAGGAAAAGCTGCATCCCTACCATTTCACACGAGTTCAGAGAGACCTTCCATTTCACAGAGACTTCAGTTTTGTCACTCTGTTAGCCGACTTGATCAGGGTGACTTTCTGAAGACGATATTGTGGACAGATGAATCTACGTTTACTCGAGATGGCGTTTACAACATCCATAATGAACATCACTATGCCACCGAAAACCCACACGTGATTCACCAGTGTAGAAACCAAACGAGGTTTAAAGTGAATGTATGGACTGGACTTATTGAAAATCAGTTAATCGGCCCTTACATTGATCTTCCGCCTTCATTAAAATGGCCGTCAGTATCTCAACTTCCTTACTGATACTCTACCAAGGCTCATTGAAGACGTCCCGTTGGATGTGCGTCAGCGAATTGTCTACCAAGCGGATGGTGCACCTCCCCACTTTGATAATGGTGTACGAGCTTACCTTGGAAATACTTTCCCAATGTGGATTGGAAGGGGAGGAACAATTGCTTGGCCACCACGGTCACCAGACCTAACTCCCATGGACTACTACGTATGGGGTTACCTCAAACAGGAAGTTTACCGAACACCAGTTCAAACAGTGGATGAGCTAAGAAATCGAATTCTCAGAGCTTCCGTCCTTCTTCAAGAGGAGATAAATCTGAATGCAACAGTGAGAAATTTTCGGAAAAGAATCCGCACGTGTATACGAGCAAATGGTGGACATTTTGAAAATTTATTGTGATTGAAAATCCAGAAACTAGACCCTACACAATTATTTTTTTTAATATCCCTCCCTGTTTATTTGTTAAATTGTATTAAAACTAGATTTTTTTAAACTGAGTTTGTAGTTTTGTCACAAAATTATAAAATAAGAAAATAGTTAATCATTTAAAGGTTATAATGCAACAATCAAAATCATATGGTTTTGTGAATAAAGTTTAAACCCCAGCTGATCGTGTCAGTTGATTAACAACAGGTAAAAAGAAAATAACAGATATTAAATTTGGATCCCTGTTTAGATTACCAAAGTTCTGACCTTGACACAGTTTTGACCTAATTTTTCGAAATGTGAATGCAGTAATAACCTTGTTGGTTACATCATTTTAAAGGTTATAAAATGAGAAAGTTTTTTAAGCAATTTGACAAAACATTACATTAATGTTAATAGGTGAAACGGCACTTTAAAGTTGTAAAGAAGTTATTAGCAAACTTCATTGTCTATGTTATGTGAGTTTTAAAGCGGGGTAAATAGGGTTGTATGTTAAAGTTGTTGCAATGATTCTATGGAAAATTTAACGTTCTTTTCATTGGTGTAAGGTATAATTCTGTAACTGTTTTGGTTTGGCTTCTATGATAGCTATAGTGATGCCACTACAGGTAATTTATAAAATACACAAAATCGGTCACTAAAGCTTAACGGGTGGGGTTAGAAAATTCTTCCTGGCATTTTTTTGTTCCTTTTAGTGAGTAGAATAGTTGGTAAAAATTAACGCACTTAGTATAAACTCACCCTGTATATGAATTTGAACGGATGGTGTTTTTGGCCTCTAGGGACTTCAAAACGAAAAAAAAAATCGGTCCCGGGTCCAGGTCTTACTATGAGTACTACGTTAATAGCTTATTCCGTATATGGGAAGACGATCTCCTTTCAGTTTACCATTTAACTAGAGTTGTGTTTGGATTCAACTGTTCACCCTACTTGGCACTAAGGACACTTCACCAACTTATCACTGATGAAGGAGCAAACTTCCCACTGGCAGCTGAGGCTTTCAAGAAACAAGTATATGTAGATGATTTAATTTTAGGTGCCAACAGCATAGAACAAGCTTTGGTACTAAGAAATGAGGTGGAACAACTTCTCTTAAAAGGATGTTTCGAACTGAGGAAATGGACAAGCAACTGCCCTCAAATCATGGAAACTCTTCCCGACTTTTACAAAGAAACTCCTCTATATTTCAACTCCTCAGATCAACCTTATTTTAAGGTACTAGGTATAAAATGGTCACCTAACTCAGACACTTTCTCTTATCAGTTGAATATCCCAGACACACCTCCCACTAAACGAGGTATACTTGGAACAGTTAGCAGAATATTTTATCCAAATGGTTGGTTGACTCCAGTCACTCTTTGGGTAAAAGCGTTGATACAAGTTTTATGGGCACTAGGTTTATCATGGGATGCGCCTATACCTCCGGATCTAACTGGAAAATGGTCTAAGTTCCTCCAACAACTCCCTTTCTTAAGTGAGCTTACCTCGATATGTTTCCGTAGCTGATGCTGTTCATATCAGTTTACATGGATTTTGTGATGGGTCTGAAACAGGTTACGGAGCTTGTGTCTACTTGCGATGTGTAAGTTCTTCCGGAGAAATCAACGTACATCTGTTAATTGCCAAAGCTCGAGTTGCTCCTCTTAAGAAGATCTCCATCCCTAGACTAGAATTGTGTGGTGCCCATCTTTTGTCCAAACTCCTAAACTATTGCAACTCCCTACTCTCTCAAGATTACCTCGTCAACAAATTACATGCTTGGTGTGATTCATCTGTAGTCTTGTCATGGATAAAAACTGTACCCTACCGCTTAAAAGTTTATGTTGCAAATCGAGTTTTAGAAGTTCAGGAACTTACTTACATATGGAAACATGTCTCAACTCATTGTAATCCAGCTGACATTGCCAGTAGAGGAACCCTTCCCATTTCTATGAAAGACAACAGTTTATGGTGGAATGGTCCCGATTGGTTATCTCTGGATCAGGAATCGTGGCCTATTCCTCGCTTCACTCCTCTCCAAGACGAACAATTGCCAGAACGTAAGGCCGAAAAACCAGACTTATTCAACAGTTTTTCATCTTGGTCAACCCTCCAGCGAGTCATCGCTTACATTCTACGCTTCAAAAATAACTTAACAAACCAAGTTAAAGAATCAGGATTTTCAAAGCTTGAAGAGCTTGATAAAGCAACAATCACATTATGTAAAATGATTCAACAAACAGTCTTTTCTGAAGATATTTCCAGATTGAAAGCTGGAAAACCTTGTTCTTCTCGTCTTGCGTCTCTCTCCCCCTTCTTAGACGAAAATGGATTGATTCGTGTTGGAGGCCGCCTTAAGCACTCTCAAGTATCCTACGCTGCAAAGCACCCTATTGTCTTGCCCAAAACTAACCATGTCACCAATCTCAT